GCCAGACTGCTCTGCTCTTGGGCAGAGGCCAACCTGTCATCGATAAAGGCGGATCACATCTCGGGGGAGGTCAACCAGCAGGCAGATGCTCTCAGCAGAGCGACGGTGGATCATTCAGAGTGGCGACTGGATCCAGACCTGTTCTCAGCCATATCTCACAGGGTAGGACACCCAGTCCTAGACTTGTTCGCCTCGGCGAACAACTCCCAACTGTTGTGGCTCCGTCTTGTGAGCCCCTCTTATCGGAGGAAGAAGGCTCCGAACATGAAGGAGAGGAGATGGCTAGGCCTCCCTCTCCAGGACCCTCCTCTTTGGCAATGCCTCAGGTGTCTTCCGACAGAGAAGAGATTGACCAGGAGCCAGGTGGTTCAGAGATTGGCCAGGAGCCCGGTGTGTCTCAGATTGGCCAGGAGCCAGGTGTGTCAGATAATGAGGAAGAAAAGTTGTGGCTGGATCCACGCCAGCGTAGGAGCGATAAGCGTGCACAGCAGAAAAAGAGACGTGCCAGAGATTAAGCTGAGTCACTGGACCACACCCCACAGGCTATAAAAGGGTGGTGGTGGCCATTTGGACCTCTGTGACGGACAAAAGCTGAATCTCTGGCAAAGTAGCGTGCTGTGGTTTTAAACTGTGTGTATTGTTTTTGTTTCTGGGTGTTTGGAGATAAAAGGGTCTTGGCAGGCAGCTACGGAGCTGCTGCCAAGTTTCTTATCTGTGAAGTGGTGTCTGGAGAAGTCTTTAAACCCTCGGCTGGCTGTTTGGGTGTGTGGGTCGGAACGGGGACAGAACACCAACTTCCAAGGTTTTTCTCCCGTTTTCAGTCTCGAAGGGCGGAGGGAGTGGACGCCCTGCACATCCCGTGGCCCCGGGGTCTTCTTTACGCTTTCCCTCTGCTTCCCATACTTCCGGCTGTCATCCGCAAGATTCTGCGAGAGAGGGCGGAGGTTGTTCTCATAGCCCCTCATTGGCCGAGGCGCCCTTGGTTCGCCGACCTCATGAGCCTATCAGTATCCACTCCGTGGCAGATACCCCCAGACCGGATAGTACTCACTCAGGGGGCGCTTCGCCATCCCGATCCTCAATGGTTACAATTAACCGTATGGCGATTGAGTGGAGACGTTTGACTGAGGAGGATTATCCTCCGAGGGTCATTGATATCATCCAGGCTTCTAGGCGACCCTCAACGAATAGAGTTTATGACTCTACTTGGAGGAGGTTTACATCTTGGATGTCTAGTCATCATGTTCAGTTGAGAAGAGAGTGACAAGGAGTCCAAGATGTCAAAAACGAACTACCTTACCTATTTCCCGACAGAGGATCATGAGAGTCCTCTGTCCACCGCCGGAACCGATGCCAAGAAAGGACGCTACTGCGAAGGAGGGAACGCGTGGTAGGCTTGATCCGTTCTTTCCTTAAGGGAGCAGTTAATATCAAGCCCCCAACGGTTCATCGGTATCCTTCCTGGGATTTGTCAAAGGTTTTACAGGCCCTTACCGGGTCACCTTTTGAACTTCTTCGCTCATGTGATCTCAATCTTTTATCCATGAAAGTGGCCTTTCTGGTGGCAGTGACCTCTGCCAGGTGCATTTCCGAATTGGCTGCTCTTTCGGTGAGGGAGGATCTTTGCTTATTTCGCCCTGATTGTGTAATTTTACATTTGGATCCCACATTTGTTCCTAAGGTGAACTCCTTGTTTCACCGGTCACAAGAAGTGGTGTTACCAAGTTTTTGTCCTCGTCCATCTAGTGACTTGGACTGCAAATGGCACACTTTGGATGTTTGCAGGGCACTTCGCATTTATATTAAGAGGACATCTTCTTTCCGTAGGTCAGAGGCCCTTTTCTTGTCATTCGCTCCGACCTCAATGGGTCTCAAGATCTCTTCTACCACCATCGCCAGATGGATAAAGGCTTGTATTGCTAGAGCATACCAATCACAATCATTGGCCGTGCCGTCACGTATCACAGCTCACTCTACTCGTAGCGTGGCCACTTCTGCTGCCTGGGCTACTCAGGCGCCTATCGGTGACATCTGTCGGGCGGCGACCTGGTCGTCCCCTTCACCATTTATCCGTCATTATAAGATCGATAGTTTTACTTCTGCTGACGCTGCCTTTGGCTGTCGAGTATTACAGAGGGTAGTATCATCTGCATCACGTGCCCCGTCTGTTAACCCTCCCTAGGGACAGGCGAGCTTTGGTATGTCCCAATCATGTGGATTATCCATCCCTCATGCTGGAGAAGGGGCGTTGGTCTTACCTGAATGCCTTTTCTCAGCATGATGATGGATAATCCACCCCCACCCCTTTTTCTTTTCATGGGTTCATGGGCACGGTGGCAGGAGTCTGGAGACCAACACGCCTGACTTTGTCTGTTGCTTCACCTCCGTCGGAACTGGGCATGTGCGACCAGGCAAGAGGCGTGGCTATCTCAGACTTAGTCTTATTGGGTACAAGGGACTTCAGGAAACCCAATCATGTAGATTATCCATCATCATGCTGAGAAAAGGCGTTCAGGTAAGACCAACGCCCCTTCCCCCCTCTGGGAACTGCTGGCTGCTGTGTTGCTGGGGCGGTCGCTGCAGTTTCCATGGAGCTGGCTGCCCCTGCTGCGTATTCGGACATCCCCAATTCACTCCCACCATCCTTGGTTTCTTCCAGTTGCTCCCTCTTTTTACTCTTGCGTCATCCGGACTTTGTCTTCAGATTCTGAAAGATTTCCACCATGTATTGCACAGCTTGCTTATTGATCTCGTCGGTCGACTCCTGCTCTCCTTTGGACTCGTCCTCGTCAGAGAGCAGTTCCATCTCCCACTTCTAGCCCTTTCTCCGGTTGCCTCGGGTGAACATTACTCACTGGGCTTTTCCTTCCCACTCTTGTTTCTTACTCCGACTGACCACCTTGGCTTCATGGAGCTTTCTGCCTTGATCATTTTTCCATCCATCTGGAGGAGCTTTCTTCTGGGTGATCCTTTGCAGCGGACTCTCCCCAGCATTCAGTCTCGTCTTGTTCACTCAGTGGAGGGACATGGTGTGCACGGTAGGGCAGTCGCCTCTCTGGGTTGACCTTTTTGCAGATCTTGCTTAATGTAAGGTCTTGCCTCAGCTAGTCTTCCCAAGAAAGCAGAACTTTTGAGACAGGCATTATCTCAAAAGGAACTTTTATTGAGAGACAGTGACAGCAAGAAAGCAAAGCAAGATCTAGTATTTTCCCATGCGAAACGTTATATTAAAACATCCTTTATAGACTCCACCCCAACAGCCAAAACTCTGGTTTGATTTCATCCAATCCTCAGGTGCAAAATTGTTATGGGAACCAAATTGATAAGCGCAGTTCCCAGGCAACATTCTCAGGATTTCGGTTTCCTCTCGGCCTCTTGATCTCCTCCCCTCAGTGTGGAGATAAGACAGATGGCCCAGGGCACATTCCTTCTTCCATTTACAACCCCGTACCAGCCTCCCCCCTCCCAGCAGAAGGGCAGACCCGAACATAGAAAGAAAAGTCATATAATAAATGAGAGTGAGAATTCTTCATCTTTGCCAGCAACATTTGAAGGGCCACAGTTCTTCAAGGTGCTTTGCGTTTACTGCTTCTGTGCTGAAATTACCATAGATACTTTTGATATCTCCTCATATGAATATCATACTAGGAGAACAACTTTTCTCTTGTTCCTCTGGAGTTTTCTTCATACTAGTCAAGATGAACTGGGGGATGCTTGATAAGTTTACTTATAACTCTCATCAGAACATAGAGATTAATAGAACTACTCTTAAAACATAGAATCTGGACTTTAGAATGACTGGTAAAAATATTTTAGCTTGGTGTGCAGTTGTAAACACAAGCATTTTATTGTTGAACGTTATCATTTTTTTAAAGATACAAACTCTATCAGTAGTAATATAAATTTCTTAGTTTATATTATCACTGATTTTTCTCTCCTCTGAAATAATGCCTAATAATGCCTATAGTAATGTCTAATAATTCATTCCATTTCCAATCCTGGATTTCTGTAATCTTTTGATGAGGCAAAACAATAGGTCATTATTTGAACTCACTTCCTCCTTAATTAGAATGGTAGAGGGGTTTACACTGAGTCCGAAAGGAGAAGGGCGGGATATAAATACAATAAATAAATAAATAAATAAATAAAATTACTTTTACTATAGATATAGTATAGATATTATCAATCACTGCATAGGTGTAAATGGTTGTGCATAGAGTTAGTCCTTAGCTTACAACAGTTAATTTAGCGATCATTCAAAGTTACAGCAGTATTGAAAAAAGTGACTTATGACCGTTTTTCACACGACCGTTGCAATATCCCCATGCTCACGAGATCAGAATTCTGATGCTTGGTAACCAACTCATATTTATGAGGGTTGCAGTGTCCTGGGGCCATGTGATTACCTTTTGACCTTCTGACAAGCAAAGTTAATAGGGAAGCCAGATTGACTTAACAACTGTGTTACTAACTTAACAACTGCAGTGATTCACTTAACAATTGTGGCAAGAAAGGTCATAAAATGGGTCAAAATTCATTTAACAAATTCACTTAGCAACAGAAATATTGGGCTCAATTGTGCTCATAAGTCGAGGACTACCTGTATTCTAAGGACAGAGTTGAGCCAACTGGTTTTATACATGTATGTGCATTTGATGAATTTGATGTGTGTTTTGGTTAGACCTCCACCCCACCTCCATTACCAATAATTGGGGTGTATTTGGAGGATTCCTGCCCTGAGACTTCCTTTGTTTCTTATTCCTTGATTGCCTCAATGACAAAAGAGATTAATAGGGAAAAGGCTATGTTCAGAGGATTGTTCCTTTGCTGCTGTCATGCATTTGTGCAAGTGAAGATTATTTATGTACTGTTGGAAAATTGGAAGTTAGGTAACACATTCCTTCAGTAACTTCTATAAGAAAAAAGGGATTGCTCAGTTGCTTTAAACTTGACATATCACATCATCTGAGATTGAGTTTTCTGTTCCTTTTTCTTCTCAGGTTGGACTCTCAGAATCAAAACTAATTTCAGCAAGCTTTCCCCAATCCATCTGTTTGGACGTGTCTATCACTTTGGAGAACAGGGTGAGTAAGTTTGATGCAATAGGGCAGGGTCTTCTCATAACTTAGCTGAGTTCTATTTGGCTACCCCTCCTTTTCTCTCAGAAACCTCAAAATCTCAGCAACCTGGTGTACAGTACATCCATCCATATTAAAGAATATTGCTATGTTTTAGAAGATTGACAGGACCAAAATAAAAAGTACATTCATCAAAGCCTGGAAAGTTTTTTTATGCTATCTCTTTATAATCTTTCTCTCCCTGTCTTGCCTTATACTGCAAAGTTATATCCTAAAATTTCCTGCAGCTTTAGTTTGTGTGAAAGTGTCTTCGGGCTTCTTTGAGGCATGATAAAAAAAATAGTGTCTCTGCCATAGAGGACCTCTACCTGACAGAATTTTGTTTTTCCTTGAAGAGGATGTGGAGCGCTTCCAGAAAGACTTTGCCTCTCATATCTGGCTGACTTACCGTCGAGATTTTCAGCAGCTCGAAGGCACTGCATGGACCACTGATTGTGGCTGGGGCTGTATGTTGCGCAGTGGGCAGATGCTGCTTGCTCAAGGTCTCCTTGTCCATCTTCTTAGCAAAGGTAAGCGGCAAGGCTATATATGAGACATCTGAGCGGAATTTTATTCCTCATGCCTTTGTACTGAGACATACAGGCTAAGTATCTGGAATGTATAATGTTTACATCTTGTCCCATGGAGGATCTTAAAGAGTTATCTAATTCAGTAGCTTCTTTGGATTTGTCATCTTCCGAAGTTCAACAGAGGACATCTACATAATAATAGAAAATGTGAGTAGCTCATAATTTGTGGTACCACCAACCATAATTTAGCAAAGTTCAGCAGTATAGTATCCACATATACAGTTTGTTACAGTTTGTTTGCTATTGGTTTTACAAATTTTATTAATTTTCAAATAAACATATAAACAGATAATACAAATATGGTGCATTTCATTGAAAAAAAAAACCCCACAAGAAGAAATATTTTCAGAAATGATCGGCGATCCCCCCCCTGCATCCTCCCTCACTCCTCCACCTTCCTACCTACTTCCCTCTTCCTTCCTCCCCCTCCTAACCACACCTCTCTCCTCCTTCCTCCTTTCCAACTATCCTAAACATCCCGTCACCTTCTTTTCCACATCCTTCGGATGCAGTTTAGGGGTACTAGCCGATCATCTCCTCTTCTCAAAAAAAGAAAGACCATTACATCATTTTTCTATAACATATAAATACACCAAACTGTTTGCTATTAAGTGAATAAATGATATCTAAATTACTTTCTATGGGCTTTGGGGAATTGGATGGCTTGCTATCCTTTCTTATTTTTCTTGGTTTTGCGTTTCGCTTTTCAGACTGGATCTGGTCAGATGTCCTTATCACTACCAATTTGACAGATATGCAGCCTGTGAAAGCTGCCTCTCTGCCCTGTCCCAGTGTCTCCCATCTGCACCAAACTTCATCCATCCCCACTAATAGGACCATAGGCCCCTGGGAGTTGTGGGCTCATCGGCATACCTGCAGATCTGATGAACTGGAGAAGGAGTGTTATCACCGTAAGATTATTTCATGGTTTGCAGATCAGCCACAAGCACCCTTTGGGATTCACAAACTAGTTGATCTTGGGCATAATTCAGGGAAAAAAGCTGGAGATTGGTATGGCCCATCTGTTACTGCCCACATCCTCAGGTGAGTGGTAATATGTTATCTGAAGGAATTTATATTAGAGAAATGAGGAACAGCAGGTTTGGGGATCATTAACACTTTCTCAGCAGGAGTCTTTATGGGCGGATATTCTGGTCTGTTGGTAGTTAAGTTGGGAGGTCTATTGTGTACTTTGAATTTGACTATTTTGAAATGAAAATATCCCACCTGGAGTTAAAAATTATTTCTAATTTAAAATAGCTGTTCTGCATCTGAAATAGACTGTTTCAATTACTTTGGTAGTGTTTTGAGTATTCTCAGAGTGACTTTAATAATTTGTTTCAAATTTTAAAAGTGAGTGTTTTAAATGGTTAACATTTTGCTTCTGCTCCTTATTATCTCAGTATTCTGTTATGTGCTCAGCTAGCTATGTGTGAGTCAGGTTCTCTGCCCAGAATGTTCCATGTTCTTATTTTGGGAAATTTTTGATAACACAACCAGGGATAACCAAACTCTGTTATCACAAGGTTTCAGAATGGTTGACTAAAGCACTAAATGGACCTGCTGGATCGGTCCCATTTAAAATGCCTGCTTAGAATGCAGGAAACTTGTCCAAGTTTTGCTGAAAAGAGTAACAATAGAACTTTGCTGGTTTCCTTGTCCTTGATGAATTGCATCGTTAATTATGAAAAAGGTGAGAAAGGCAATACATGGCAAACCTCACATATCTTCTTTAGCATCTGAATCTTTAAGGAGCTGTCACATTGCAAGCCAAATATATTCTTATTAGGAATGGGGAACCTGGCATGCCATACCATTACCCACGTTGGTTCAGTTTTCTGTGAGTTGTGGCCAGCAACATCAAGAAGATAAAAGCTACTACAATTTTACGTATTGGGGCAACATCTTGGAAGCTTTTCTGACTCCTACATCTTTATGCTATCACAAACTGAGCCCAGTCTTTTTTTCAGCAAGAGTATTTTCCCATTAATAAGTTTACTGTTTGTCTACTCTCCATCCTCCTTCCCATGACAACCATCTGAACTGTGAAAAATTGGCAGGATACTGTTCCACTGAAGTGTGCTATTTTGTTCCTGTAGGAAAGCAGTGGATTGCTCTATAGAAGCAGGCAATCTGGTAATATATGTATCTCAGGATTGCACAGGTAAGGTTTGGAGAAGGGGGTATTGGGCAGGTTTGTCCTGGGCTCAAGCCTCAGGACAGTCAAAGGGACTTAGCTAGTTTTCTGTCCATATAGTTTATGACTGTATTCCCTTCTCTCGTGTCCCCATAGTATACAAAGGGGATGTGGCACATCTAGCCAAGAAGAATAACAGCAGGACTCCATGGGATCCTGAGGCAGAATGGAAAGCAGTCATTATCCTAGTGCCCATGCGATTGGGTGGAGAGACTTTTAATCCTGCCTATGTGGAGTGCATCAAGGTGACTTGAGAACAGGTGCAAATAGTGGGATACCGGGGTTCACATGCAATTCATGTTGATGTCTCATTCTTTTCCAACTGATTGCATGAAAAGGATATATTGATTGTGCCTCAAAGTTGCAATATTCTGTAAGCAGAACTGTACAATGTCTGTGTAGGAGGTGGTTTCTGGAATCTCCTTGTATGTATTCCCAGTTGTTTAAGACAAGAAAATTGCTCTTACAAAAACAGCAAATCAGGAATAGTAGTGGACTGAATTATCAGCTTTTCCAATTCTTACCACTTGCATTATCTTTCCCTACATTTGTCCAACGTGGTTGAAAAGTGATAGTCTCTCTCCACCAGTCATTGTAGATAAGGACTGGGATTTGAATATCACAGTGGAAAAGGAACCAAGATTTGGTGGAATTACTAAATTCTGAAACTTATCTGGCAGGAGCTGTTGAAATTAGATTTCTGCATTGGAATTATTGGAGGGAAACCAAAACACTCACTCTACTTTGTTGGATATCAAGGTAATCAATTTCAGTATGAACCTCAGAAATCTCTAATCTATTTTTTCCTCTCAATAATAGATTGATATAACCTAAATCAGCTTTTCTAATTTCTACACTAAGCTATATTACCAGTAAATTTATTACCAAAATTCTTAACATAAAGGCATAAAGTTTACACTGTAATTATCAGTGAAACAGTACCAAAATTTACATGTTATGTTTTTCCTATTGTATATTGTTTGAAATATCACTGAAATTTCAGTTTGTAATTATGACACTCTTGGTTTTATGCTTTTTTTGGATTGCCAGACACGAGTTACAGAATTATGGAGTCAAATTTTAATTGGCAATTTACCCAACACAGCTGAATTTGAAGAATCCATGTCTGACAATCCTTATTACTTTCTCAAACCAGTAAAAGAAAGTTCACCTTTTCCAATCAATCCATGTGTACAGCTCCAAGAGGGCTTGATATATCATTTTTATTTATTATATGTTACTACCCAAACCATTATTTTTATGTGGTTAAAAATGAGCAATTAAACTAATAAAAACAGTAAACTAGTAAACCAGTAAAAATAAAAGCCTTCCTTGATTAGTATTAAGATATTTTAAGCCAGTGTGGTTCCAGTGAAATGCCAACAATGCATATGGTAAAGTAGCTCTTGTCCGAAGGATGGTCAATATAAAAAGAAATAAATAAGCAGGGATTTTTTTATTTTTGGGAGTTGCTTATATTTAGGGAGGAAAGAACTATCTAGTTGGATCTGAATGAATCTTAACTAAAAAGGCAGTAGTTATCTATACTTGAAGAATATGCCTGCATATAGGTAACCCTTGTCATTTACCTAATACAAAATGTAGAATTATCCTTGGTAAATGGGAAAAAAGCTAATAGCTATTTGTAAAGCTGCTACCAGTTAAGCAGCAAATTAATTCAAAGAGGAGGTATGTGAACCAATTGGTTGAAAAAGCAGCTAAGGGCATGTTGGGTGGTACGTGTCTCTTGACAAGTGCAGTATTTTTCAAGTAGAAGATAGTCATACTAAGATGCATTGCTTATTTCTGCCTCCTACTTCCTTTGCTGCCTAGATGACTTCCTGTTATACTTGGATCCCCATTATTGTCAGCCTTTTGTGGATACTACTAAGGAGAACTTTCCTGTAGAGGTGAGCATTTATCAATATGTCTTTGAACTGCAGGAATCTAATAGTTGGAAAATCATGAAAGAAAGCAATTAGAACTCCAGAAACAATCCAATATTAGGAAGACTACTCAGACTGAAGAAAGTATTTTGTTGCTATAGCCAAATTATACATATTACTACTGGAGGTAGGACTAAGCATAAGGAGAAGAAAAACAGATTTTACTATGGCCAGAAATCCTTATGTGGCACATTTATAAGTCAGGCTTGGGGCTATCCTTGAAAATTTACTTTCTTGTATTTATATAGATTGAGATTGAATGAGATTTGCTGGATTCAACCAGAAACTGAAACCAGAACAAGAACATCGTAAACAATGAGTAGTTGCTGAAGCCCTTTTTTTTAGAAGGAGTGTATCTCATATATTAGGTTCACTGCATTGCAGTGTAAATTTTAAAGCAAACCTTAAGTTTAAGATCCAATATTAATATAGTCATAACTTTTTGTCAGACTGTTCTCAGTATCAGAGAAAAACCATTGTGTGAGTCAAGATATGATTACATCATTTTTGGATTAAAATGTAAAAATCACCTAAATCTTGATACTTCTATCTGAGGAAAAGTGTTATCAGCTCAGGTTATCTGGCAAGTTTTAAATCTGGGAGGGTGGGGGGAAAAACCAGTATCCAGAACCACTCTAAAAATGTCCAGTATCTATAATCTTATAACAAATAAGGAAGCGATAAAAAGAAAGGGATGTTCATCAGTACATCAGAAAATGCAGAAGAGCTGTATTCAAGGTCACAAATTATGGGGAGCATGCAGAGAAAATTAGAAGACTTAGCAAAGAGGGAGTAAATATGGTTTGTTGATATTATTAACACCTGATGAGATAGAATTTATTAATGGAATACAGTATTGAAAGGATTTAATTTATTCAAAAAACCAGACCCCACAAAAGCAACGGATAGCATATTACACATGAATAAGCACATTTGTAAGGACCCACTTCAATCCACATCTTAAGAAAGCAGAACTCTTGGAAACGGTTTTGTTAGAGAATTTTAATTTCTCTATTGGTGAAAATAAATCAGAAGCTCTCACAGTTGACTGCATTTAGCTGATTCAAATAAACTCTTTATATTCATATAAAATTATTTACAATACCATACATTCTTCTTTACAGTAACATAGCACAATGTAGACTTCTTACAGCAGAGACAGACCTGAGACTGAAACTGAAACAAAATCCAGCTTCTAACTCCAAACCTTTTGCACAGACTCAGTAGCACTTTCTTCACATTGGCTGACTGAGTTACCACATGACTCTTCCTGCTCATGAATATTCCAACACTCCTCCCTTCATGACAGGAAGAGACATCAGACCTATTGA